GGATGGAGGGCTGAGGTAAGTCCAGATCCTGCCACGTGTTCCTCACACCCTGTTGCAAATCCCTTCCAGGAAAACTCATCACCTGTGTTTCTCAAAGTGGATTCCAGAAAGTGAGGCTGGACCCAGGATTCACTGCAGTTAAGATGATTTGGTGCCACATACCTTCACTCCGTCCTAGCGAGCACAGACCGATGCTGCTGGAGGGCCCGTGACTCTGTTGCTGCAGTGGATGCTCTTTGCAGAGACCAAGGGACAACCCACCTTTGGCAAATGATGCCCTACTGGAAACTGAGATCCTGAGAACATTACTGCAACTGGTCCTTCCTGCTGCCCCAGAGAAAGCCCCACAGCAGCTCCTGCAAGACTTAAGGGTGGGTGAGAGGTGCCCAGCACCCTGCCCTGCTTCCCCATGTTTCTGTGAAAACAGAGCAACTACGTGCTTCCTGCCCTCCCTCAGATTAGGGAAAACAACCAGAGTAAGAGCAGAATCTCTCTGACAGAGCACAGTGTGTGTTGCTGTCCATGAGCTGGTGCAACGCAGAGCTAAGATGTCATCTCCATCATGTCTGCATGCATGAAACCTACAGGTAGTCCTCAAGTTGTTTAGCTAATGCAGACGTTTCTCCTATCAGCATGGCCAGACAAACCCTGTAGGAAGAAAGGAAGCATATCTTTGTGCATGCTGATTCCTGTTTCACTAAATTCATAACCTTAATATGGCATTAACACAGCATGTGCATTTATGCCGTAATTGCGTTCCAGCTGCCTGAATGCTCTTCTTAATTTAGTCATGCTACTTTAGCTTTGTTGTGAGTTACAAATCACTCTTGCTCTCAAGAAACAAATTAATTTACAGATGTTACAAGAGATAGGATTACCCAGCAGGATTTCTTTTTTTTTTTTGACACATGCAACGTAAAAACTTTATTAAATGAAAGCAATTTCTCAAGGGAAGTCCAACAGGCACTTATACTGATGGCAGAGGGAGACAAATTACAAAGGCTTTTGAGTGTCAAGGAGCATCACAGCCTCCTTGAAACCAATTTGAAGGAACTCTGCTGCAAACAGTACAGCAAAGAAGAATGTGAGTTGTAATGTGTACCTGTACAGGTTTTTAAATACCAATTGATTTTTCAAGGGCACAGATATTATGCATACATATATATGTTATCATCAGAACATGAAGTGTTGGCTTGTTTGAGATTGGTGGCATCTTTTTTACCCTCAAAAAGCTTTTTTAGTTAGTTTGAATTTTGTCATGGTTTTGGTCAAATTTTCAAGGAAAATGTGTTCTATTGGCCCAATAGTTTAAGGCTAAAACCTAAAACATTCTTTACCTTGTTATAATGATCTATGTATGGATGAGTTATCTGATTCATTAAATAATAATTATGGGTTAAAGCAAAACCAATCTTTTCTGGACTACTGGCAAGCAGCCATAGCTTTGTGCAGCCTTTTTCTGCCACGTTTACTCCAATTCCAATCACTCCTTGATCATGCATTTACTGAGTTAAATGGCTGTGTTGGGGAAGGTGCACTTTCACCTGTCAGAGTGCTCTTCCTAATTAAAATAATTAGATATGGTGTCAACAGATGGTGCTGAAGAGCAGCAACATTACCCTGGACTGCTGTAACATCAAGAATATTCCTAAGGAATTGCAACTGCTGTCACTAGATGCTGTTTACATAAACTTCCAGTGACCTCTACTTCTGGAGATATTTCACTGTTTCCAGATATCAGTACGTAATAAACGTTGGTATTTCTATAAAAACATCTTAATATTTCAAATAAACATGAAATTTTCATTTTGTACAATAATAATATTGCCACTATAATTTTTTAAGCCATCTTCTTTAATGCCTTCTTTGAAAGTTGCAATGTACTTTCAGTATATGTTGTCCGCTCTTTTGGAGTACTCTGGAGACTCTGATACTATGAGGTATGAGGACAAAACACACCTTTCACCTGTAGTCCCAGTAATCTTTCGGCCTTGTTGCCCAAGCTCTGCTCATGGTATTGACAGCCAGGGAGACCGTCTGGAGAGGAGCTGGTGAAATAAAGTTTATTTTGAATAGGGTGATGTCATGGGTTCTAACTTTCTCTCTTCATATTTTATATATCCAAGAGCCAGCTCATGAAAAAAATCAATGCCCCTACTTGTAGAAGAGATTAATTCAATATTGCTTTGAGAATTTAATATCAAGATTTTAAGGAGATGCTGCAACTTAACTCAAATCTACACCTTCTTCCTGGTTTTGGCTGGGATAGAGTTAATTTTTCCTAGTAGCTGATGCAGTGCTGTATTTTTTGCTTCTGAGCAATCAGATGCAATGTGTTGACTTGTGTTGTACAAGCAGTCAGATTTTTCCTTACGGCTCTTTTCTGTAAAATCTATAACTTCCAGTCTTGAATGCTCTTAAACAAGAGAAAAATTAAATTGTATCTGGAGAGGAGTGAAGGATGCACACTTTGGATACCATTGCACACAAATACTGCTGAATCAGCCATGAGCTTTCCGTAGCTGCTAAGGAAATCTCTCCGTGCCTCTTTCATCTCTCACATAAATTTTAAACCTTTCAGCTTGCATAGCCCCTCACTACAGACCCCACTGCCCGTAAGAGTGGGACTCTGCACTGGCTGGGGTCTCTAGACTTGGCTTGCTTCCACCTAAACCTAGGCACCCAAAACAAGAAAACTCCAAGGGAGAGTCGAATTGCTCCCTTCAAGGACTGCAACAAGAGAGCTCAAGAGGGTAAGACTCCAAAACCTTGGATGCTGTTTGTCTGATGTGTGTAGGTCTAGGTGTAGCCTCAAGTCAATCTTTAAATGATGTAACATCACAGCTCATCAGATTCTCATCAGGTGTAACACTAAAATTGCCAAGAGGCTGCATTTTGGTGAAAGATCAAACCAGTCACAGCATCCTTCACTTTGCATTTTTAGGAATCTCTGTCTGCTTGCTCAAATCAAAATTGTTCATGATTGATCATGTAGCTTGTGCAGCTTCTCTCTGCTAAACTTCCTAAATTGATTGAAATAGACAGTTTCAAGACAGACATGTATAACACAATGAAATATCCCACAATACATACTGTGAATGAATGGTGCTGACAAGAACTAATATGCTTGTCCCAGGTAACACATCATACAGAACTATGTGCAGCTTATGAAAGGTCAAAAATCTTAAAATAGCTGATGCCCACAAGCCCATCTTCTCCTTCAAACTAGCACAGATAATGTCACTGCTCAATTACTGCCACACTAATTTCTTTCTTTTTCCAACACACCATGACATTTTGATGCCAGATAATTTTTGATCTCTTGTAACCAAACCTTAAAGGGAGGCTGGATGTCACACATTTTTATTTGGATTCTTGGGTTTAATGCAAGTAACAGCTGGATTTTTTTTCTCCAGCTTATTCCAATATCCCATAAAGATTTGTGTTAAAGACTCATCCATGCACCTTGTCTCTGAGGTACCAGAGGATCTGGCACATGTAATTCATTAACTGAACATTTTTTTCCCCAAGAGCAACACATGTCACTTTTGCTCTGAAGCAATACATCTTCCTTTAACAGTCTGCACCTACTTCCTTCCGATTCATGGGACAGACAGCACGTAGGAGTGATGTATCTGGCCCCATTCCTTGCAGAGTTGGTTCAGGGAGCCAGCACCCCATGCTGAGGACTTTGCAAGGTCAGGCTTCGAGTACTTCTTGTGCCCAGAGCTTGGACTGCACCACAGTGCCAGTTTGTGATGCAGAGCTCTTCTGCAAGTCAACTTTGTCTCCTCTTCACCCAGGTAGGGTGGGAGTAGGAAATTTAAGGCAAGGAAGGGTAGGACACTAGGTGTGCATGACCATCAGCAGGTAGCTGGCCACCATCCCAGGCTGACAGAGAAGCTCCCTGCACACAGCAGGGTCACAAAGAGAGAAATGGAAGACACCATGGGGATGGCAAAGGCATAGAGTTGTTGACAGAAGGACTGAGAAAAAATATCTACCTTGTCCTCACTGAAAGCTTGAAAGATCTTCCAGCTCTTCTTGGTGACATTAGTACCCATCTTAACCTTAGCTACCTACAATGTGCCATGAAAATATTTTGTATGGGGTTAAATCGCACCATAGAAAGTTAAATCACAGTGATTTCACTGTGTGAAACAGAGTTAAATTTTTCAGTTCAGACTTTAACTCTGTCAAATCACTAAGCTGTCCCAGTGTACACGCTGAGGAATCTGAGCTGGGATGCTGCCCTACACTGCTCCTCTCTTCTTGTGGTTCAGTGTAAGTCCTGTCTGTCCCAATTTGCTTGAATCAGATTTCAATCTCTTATTATAGTCAGATTTTAAAAGCCTTGGAAGAACAAATCTATAGTTAATAGGCTATGCCTGGAACCTCACCCATGTTTTACAAAATTTTGATTTCAGTGGTCTATATATTAAGAAGATGAGCTACCGCCTGAGCACTCACACTGTGCCACAATTTGATCCTGGGGGTTTTTTGTGGGTTTTTGAAGACTGGCTAAAGTCTGAGTCAATACAAATTTTTTTGTATTTTCAGATAAAACCTACATCAGGTTACACTGATCGTACCACATAGAGTACAAAATAAATACCATCCCCCCTCAAAAGGAGCATTTTACATGGCAGGGGACCCAAATGCTCTTCATAAAACATCAGCACCTCTGCACCCTTCCATGCATGAACTACTCAGTGAAAAAGCAATGCTTGTTCTTGCAGTATCTGCTGAACCTTTGTTTTACTATTTCTGACTAAAATCAGGTTAACATTTTTCCTGAATTATTTTGCTTGAATAAACTACACCAGAACTAAACAAACCCAGTCTGTTGTTTGATCGCCAATATCTTTAGAAAATGTTGTATTTCCTTCAAGAGCAAAGCTCAGCCATTAGAAGAATTATTTGGTTGGTAAAATTAGTTAATATAACTTTGAGCAATAAAGAAATTCTAGCTTAAAAAATAAGCAAACCAAGACCAACTCTTCAGCTGCTGAATACTTTATTCTTTTTTTACTTCATACACCAGAACTCCAAAGGCTTATACAAAATATAAAGTAAAATAAAACCCCAGTATGGTTTTACTGATGTTAAAACTGCAGTCTTGTATTTTTTAATCATTTATTGTAAATATGAAGAGGAGGGGGAAAACTGCCAGCATATCTACTGAAAGCACTTAACCTTTTGGATATTATGTCATTATTGTTGCAATGAGAGTTGGCTAAGATGATTTGATTTTTTTCAAGAAATGTCAATTCTATTCAACTCTTCCAGTAGAAATGTGTCTTGTTTCATGGAGAAATTCACTGGAAGTGAACGTCAGTTCAAAATTTTTTGCTGTCTCATCTCAAAAAGAAACCCACATTCAGTTCTTACTGAACAGAGCAAGGGTCTGCTTTTGCTTCCCCCACCTAGTGGGAATGCAGTAAACAAAAGGCCACTGAGAGAGAAATAGAAGGCACTATAAAAACATATTCAAACTTCTCTTACTAGCAAAATTCAAAATAAAATACACATAGCCACCTCAGCTGTGAGAGGGAGTGCAGCAATATGAAGAGATGAACATTTGAGCAGAACATCGGAAGCAAATCCTCCCGTAGAGGAATTAAGTTCACCAGCATGTGGAAGGTGTATGTATGTAATAGGGCTTGCAGAACTAGGTCCTGTGAGAAGCTGAACGGCTTTTGCAAGATGCTATTTGAGGGTATTCAGCACCAAGAGGAGGAAACCATGAAGCCCTCTGAAAGCATCATGCAGATTTAGGTCCCTAATGCAATATAAAACATATTTGCTCCACTTAGTGACCTGAGAGCTTGCTTTGGCTTAGTTTTTTCCCCAAGCATTTATTGTTAAGTTAATTAAGCATTTAAAAATAAGAGTCTCTAACTTTCCAGAGACTCCACATAAATACTAATCTGTCTTCTTCTAAGGGCCAGATTTTGTGCAAGGGCAAATCAATAATTTCACTGATTGAGGATCTGGCCTTAAAAGTCTATCCAGTGCATTAAAACTAGCGCAGCATGACACATGCTTTGGCATTAGGACAACCCTCTGGATTAATATTTGAGGGAAATTTGGCGATTTAAAAAGAAGCTCGGATTGAAATGTTGCTATTCTTTAATCAGTCCTGACTGCCACAGTTTCTCCTCTTGTGAACTGCACAGTTATGGCTGGAGTTTCACTTTCACCCTCTTCAAGCTTTAGTGCAGCATTGTCCAAGCCAGTGCTGTTAGGCTGTGGTAAGGCAGTGGGTTCTGCTGTCAGAGTTGGAGTGGAGCAATACAAGATGAAGCCCACCATGATGATAACGAAGGACAGGATATAAAGACCTGAAAACTGGCAGAGGAAAGAAAGAGATGCATTAAGTCTTGCCTGATTGTAAAAACATGTCAATGCTGCCTTATTTTAAGAATGTGAAAAGCTACCCTTCCTTTTAAAAATTATTTTAATGAGGATTATCACCATGACCTGGATTCAGGTCTGAAAATCAAAATTCAACAGCTCCATTTACTTAAAGACTTAAGGCTGCTGGCTGGTTTTCTCTGCATCTCATCCTCAACATTGTTGGATAGGGAGTTTCCTCAGGTCTACATACAAGAATCTTAACAGAGAGAATAAATGGCTGTAAATATGGTCATACTAAAGGACAGTTGTTTATGCACACAAATCCTGAAACACTCTATCCCTAAGAAAATTTTGATCCAGCACAGCCAAATATTTCAGGTCCTGGCAAGAGATTAATCTCTCCATCTTACTGAAAGTCACCAGAACAGCTGGTTCTCTGCACAGATCTCTTAACCATCTGCAGGCTTTATTACTGGACCAGAACCAGTTTGCTCCCTGCACCCAGCAAGTCCTCAAGATTGGCATTTGTACTCGGTTAAGACCGATGTGAGGTAAGAGCATGAACTGCTGAGGTACACCAGGCATTTGATTTACTATTGTTCACTTACCTGTTAAAATTTCAATAATTGCCAAAATTCATCCACCTTGACAAAAATAAATGCTTACTTCATATTCAATAATACAAGGTGTAAAGTTATCCACAGCCAGGAATACTTCTTCATCAGATTTGTTAAAACTGTCCATATTGCCTTTGTCAAACCACACTTATTAAAAAGTAGGAGGAAGGACATAGAGTATCCTACATTCCACTGTCAATATTCCCTAACCTCCTTAGCTTCCTTAGACATGCTTGAAAAATATGTTCTAGTCTATCAAGCAGCAGAGCTGGATGAAATGAATTGTAGTACCCGGACAATGGACTCTCGTCCAAAAAAGACTGAGGTATCTACAATTAAGGCATTGCAGTTCCTAGCTGGCAGTCACTTGGCATGGAAACCCTTGCATGACAACACACAAAAGGAAAAGCAGACTGAAATAGTGGCCTTGTGCTAAATGCCTTCTTTCCTCACCTTGCTGGATGTTTGCCTGGAGAAGCTTGGACTCATGTGTTCACTCTGCACAGGAGGAAGCACCAAGCTCTGAACATATCCCAGTGGAGGCAGCAGCATCACCCGTGATCCTACCCCTGACTGACCCATTCCCATAAAATGGGCAGAGCTTGGGTCTGTATCAATTTACCTGCACAAATTCTCCAACTTAAGGCCCCGAGTGAACATATGCCTGTATGCAAGGACCTGTGGCTGGCAGGCAACACCATAGGAGCTGCAGGCCCCTCTAGCAGTTCAGCACTCACAAGGCTGAAGGTGTCTCTGATCCTACTGATTTAATCCCTCCACAAATGGATAGAGTCATCAAGTCAGGGTGCCAAAGCTGTTGCAGTGTAGCTGATTATTCAAGGCCTGCTTATGTTTTTGCAGCTATTGACACAGGTGAACCTTACCCACGCTGTTCCAACAGGCCTATACTCTTTTTTTTTCCCTTTTGTTTTTGAGGAGAGCTCTGTGTTGTTCTTTTCTTGGGATTTTTCTTTTTCTTTTTTTTAATTTTGATTTCAAATATCACAACAACTTCATTGTTTCTGACATTGACTTCAGTCATACTTTGTGCAGCATATATCCCCATTCTCACAGTCAAGCCTAAAGACTACTTCAAATGTTAGTGGAGAACTGTATCTCCATCTAGTGTCTGCTTGTGCAGTATACTCCATTCCATAGGAGTTTATACAACAAAAGCATTTGGAGACCTTTTTTAATATTTCTTGAGAGATTACAGGTATTTATATAATGAGCTCTTTAGGAAGCACAGCAAAGATTCATTATGGAGTGAAAGACAAAGAAGTTCAAAACAGGTATGCAAAATTCACATTTCACTTTAAACTGAGGCTGAAAAGTCAAGTGCATTAGCAAAGCATTGTGATCAAATCAGAACCTCATCAATTCCTGGCCCTGGTCTGTGCTGTAGCCGCTGTCTGTGCCGCTTCTGTTTCAGAGCAGGCTCAGACCACAACAGTTCAGAGCTCTCTGTGGCTTGCTCCACTCTGCAGCCCAGCCAAGCCCTCAGCAGCTTGCTGTGAAATATCATCTGGTAACAGGGAATACAGAGTGATTCCTTGTATTTTTATTTGTAGATTCCTGTGTCCAGGGTGCTTTTTAATCCAGCAGGTGTCCTGCCTGGTTTGTTTGCCCCATAGGTAAAGAAGGTATATGGTTTAACTTGGCAATACGCTTTTCTGCTGCTATTATGTTAAAAGGCATGTCAAAAGTGACCTTTCTCAGTTCACGTTGCCCAAGTTACCTCAAATCCTCTGATTACTAGGAATGCAGCACTATTATTGCTCCCTTTTTGCTACTTCTTTGTTTCTAACCACAGATTCAAGTTCCTATTTCAAAAAATATCTGAAATTCTCTGAATACAATCCCAAAGTCTCCTCTAACTCATTTTTTGTTTTAGCTACCAGAATAATCTGCTACTAGCAATTATGAGATGGTATGCTCCCAGAAAAAATTCTCCCCAAAATAAGCCAAAAATCCAAAAGAATTAAAGTTTAATATATCCCTTCCAAAGCTCTTCACTATTATGAATATAAATGTATAATCACTTCTCAAGTTAAGCTATCTGGTTGCCAAAATACATGTTTGGAAGTGACTTAGAAAGGATTTGCTAGAATGTGTGTATGGTTTGCTTTCTGCATTCACTTTAATTGTAGCTTGGAGCAATTTTGGAACCCAAAAGAGGTAAGAGACTCTTGAAAAGGAAAATCTAGCTGTTGCAGACCCTACCATTACCAGACCTCTGCGCTGCCTTCATTTTCAGAAAGAAATTTGACCTAAAAGCTTCTGGCTGAAGAGAAAGCAACCACATGGAATAATACAAATTAAGTTCTTCATCAAAGCTCACAAGCTTCTCTCTAAGCCCTTCCAGTCACTGACTGACTGACTCAATTACTCCAATTGCTTTAACAAGGTAGGTTCTCACAAATGATTCTGGATGAAAAGTGTAGGGTGGAATGAAATCCTTTTAGCACTGTCATTTAGCTAGAGTAGACACTGCCAAAAATGTTTTAGAGCACAATAAAAGTAAATGCCTTTTGGAGAGCATGAAGCATAATATATTTATCTGTATTTTTTTCAGTTCCTTTAGTCTCCCCTTAGCAGTAGCACTGAGAGAGCTTGATTGTTAACCCAAGATGTTGGTAATGAACTGATTAAATTTCTAAACAAAAATATTAATTTATGGAAATCAAACTGGTCCTCTTTTAGACACCAAATGCCTGCCAGGACAGGGAGATTCAAACCCTCTCTTTGGACACTTGGGAGTGATGAACCAGAACTAACATACAGTTCCATACTGGGCTTTCAGCAAGAACACTACCATTTGAACACCTCAGGAGATTATTTATTATCTCTTAACATTAACTTATTCCTTCAAATGTGAAACAGTTTGAAAATCATCCTCTGCCTAATTGGTGCTATGCTATGTCATTAACTAAGCAAAACTCCTGATTCACATCTGCCAACAACGAACAGTACAATCTGTAGAACTGTACAGATGCAAACGACTGTTCAGGGGCTTTTAAGAACATTATGCTTTACTTATGATTTTGAAGTAGAAACATAACTGAAAGAACGTGAAAGTGAAGGAATGAATGTACTCACCTTATAATAGAAAAGGAAAAGCCCAAAGAACAGACTGTAGAGATCTGCAGTCAGAATACCCAGGTTGACTGAGGTTGCGCTGGTAACTTTAATGACAACTGGCATGAAGCTATACAGCCCAAACATGCACAGGGCAAAGACTGTGAACAACAGTGCTGTAAAACAAGACGACAAGTTACTCCTCAGGCACAGAACAATGATTTTAAAGAACACTGCTGGTTTTCAGATGCTTTAAAAATATGCATTTTTATCTTTTAGGATATGGTCTCCTAAAAGATATGGGAACGTACACGTAAGAAAAACATGGAAAATCTTTTCCAAGGTTACCTCGTATTGCAAGAATTACTGTATCTGTACAAGAAAGTTCTCATTCCTTTCTAGATAACATTAAGAGCTGACTGAAGAAATTTAGAGCCATATTTCTTGATAACATTTAGTTTTTCCAGTATTTTATTTAGAAAGGAAAACAGAAAAAATGTTCTTGCAATGTTCCAACACCAAACACGTCAGTAATGAAACAGGTTTAATTTTTATTATTTCAATTTATTTAAAAAAAATATTTCATCTTATATGTAAAATGCAAAACCTGCTTTAATGTTCAATCCTGCAAATCTTATCTCCTTGCTAAGCTGCAAAGTTTGCAGAAAATACATTTGTGAAATATAATATTAATGCTGCTTAATATTCCGAGAAAGAAAAGGCAAATCCCAGCATTCAAAGTCTAAATCTAATTTTCCAGTGTTCTTTAACATTCACATCATTTTTCCATACACATACCAACTTTCCAGTTCCACTGAATTCTCGTTATCTCCCTATGTTCCACAATGGCTCTAGAATTAGAGAAAAGATATAATGCAGTAAAAAAGGGAAAAAATAATTTTCAAGTAGAGAATTTAATTACCAAAATATATAAGAAGAATTTTGATTTATAATCCCTTAATTTTTTGTTTGAAATTTTATTGGATTACACTAACTCAAACATCTAACAGGCATGAAAAAATACTTGAAAATTAAAGTGCCTGAAAGAGCACTGTTATTTAATTCTTATGCCTTTTTCACAGGCTTTTTAATCCCTTGGAGATTTAGTTTTATTTGATATACCATTTGGAGAAATTATTAACTATAATGATGAGAAATGAAACATAAAATTCATTAGACAGACTTAAGTGCATGTGGTCTGTTACTCTGATGTGGTTATTTGTAAGACTATACAAGGCTTCATTTTAAACTTGACTTTAACATGGAAGATCTCCTAACAATTATCTCCTAAAATTTTCCACAGAGAAAACCCATTAAGAAATACATTCCTGACAATAGTCCTCAGCATACTGAGTGTCCTCATGAACATAACAAAATCAAAAATACAGCCAAGTATTGTATGTGTTTAATTGCAGGAGTTCAGTTTTAGAATTGCTGTAATAAGAGTAGTGCAAATAAAGAGGATATAAAATGGATGCTGATCAGCAACATATTTCAAGTGGAAGGACTCCCATATAGACCAAATGCAGATGTAACAAAGAATTAATTAATAACAGCATTTCATGGTAGACAAGCAATCATCTGTAGAATATTCTTAATTAGTTTCAAAATAAATATTAGATCCTTACAGCTGTAGACCGCTGACAATAGTCCCAAACAAGCCCACCATTCCTAGAAACTCCACTCTGCTCAGATTTTTCACAATGTATTCCTCACTCACATTAGAAATGGCATACAAAGAAGCACCAAGAAGCACTAAGACATCTCCAATCACCACGTCACTTCCTGTACAGAAATATTAATCCACAATTAAGGGTAAGGCTGCAAACACTTTTTAACTTTCCTTAAAAAGACAAGCAAATTTATCTCTAACATCTCTACCTTTCTAGCGCATTCCAGGGTAAGGGGAAAGGAAACGCCTCCTGTGCGGGAAGAGGAGTGTCTGAGCACGGACTCTGCTGCCTGATCACCTCACCCTGCACAGTCTGGAATAAGGAATGAGCTAAACCCAGCATTTACATCTCATCCTGACCAAGACACTGCTGTATCATCTGGTCGTATTCTACTTCTGCTGACCTTGGGCACTGCAGGGAGTTGAAAAAATTCCTGGTTAGAAATGCTCTCTGCCTTACATGAATATTGTCCCCGCTTTTGCAGTAAGGCCTGATTCAAGTCTTGCTAGAATCAATATATCGATTTTGGTGGGACCCAGACTCAGCTTCAGGTTTCTGACAGGTTTTAAGTGGGCACCGTAGATGGGTGGTACCATGTGTCCTGCTGCAATGTATTCATACTGAGCAAATGGGACTCCCTGTAATACAATCGCTTATCAAGTAAATGCCACTAAAACAGCCAAATAGAAAGAGGATTCCTGTTTTTTAAATCCTTGAATTTAAAATTTCCTTCCCTAAGCCAGTCAGCAATCACTAAGAAAATATGGCTAAAATATGAGGGTAAGCAGTAGCTAGGATCCCCAAGTCAGCAAATAAAGCATAACTATCTTAAACTCTCAGGGAAAGATTTTTCTCCCTCAGGACCAAGATGCTTGTACCACATGGTAGTAAAGCTAAACTTCAGTTTGTTCTGTGTCTTACCTACTAAGGTACTATTATGCCACATAGGCTTATCTCTATGCTGCCTGATGAAAACAATGCCCTGAAATTTACCTTGTCCCATACCCTCTGTCTGAAAATCCAAGATTCTTATTCAAAATAAGATGACTACAATATGGGTTGATTTGGGCATCTGTCACAGAGAAGACAAGACTTGCCCTTATCTGCACCCAGCTGAATGCTGGTCCCCAGAGCCCAGCCTTCCTCCCAGAGGCCCCAGGAATCCCAGCATCTTGCCCCATCTCCTCTTGCTCTCCCACAGTAAGCCCCTGCTTTCCAGACTGCGGCCTATGGGCCTTGGGGATACATCAACCACTTCTGTTGGGTCTGACAAAGATAACTCAGAGAAGTCAGCTGCTTTGAGCGACTTTTTATTTAGTATTTGTACTCAAAGAAAACTGCAAATCAAAGAAGACTGGGTACCAGCAGGCTGATCTTGCGTAAGCAAGATGAGGTTTGCAGGGAGAGGCAACTTCTATTAAACCATCTCACACGGTAGTCAAAGTTAACAAGCTTTCAAGAATGAGACTTCTGTCACATGTAATGAACAGCAGCAAAATCTGAGTTTAACAAAAGTGTTTCTCTTTTAAGGTGGGAGAAATAATCCAAACACGCAAGCAAAGAAATTCCACAGCTCCCCATAAAATCACCGTCTCTTCTTCTCGGACAAGAAATACAAATAGCAGCATGTTCTCCTCTTTTAAAACAGAACTATATCCGCACCTCCCGCATCTGCTTCTTTTTCAAGTTAGCCCACAGCAGGAACCATCTCTCCAGTCTTTCCCCCCCGCAATAAAGGACTCCTTACCTTCACTGTCCTGCCTCCCTGCCAAAATGTCTGCACCCACCATTGTTCCTACACCAAGCAAACAGACGGCAACACCAAGAAAATGTATCAGCCTGTATCTTGCTCGGAGAATGAACCATGACAAAGCCATCAGCACAGGAATCCCGAAACAGTCCAGCAGCTGTGTGCACAGAAAAATTGTCTGAGTTAGAAATGCATCCCAAATCTGGACTGCAACCTCCTGAAAGCAAATGTATAGGATCTTACTTATCATCAGTTGTTAATGAAACCTGCAAAGCAACCTCGGTGGGTGTGTTTAAGGGAGGGGTGAGACCTACATTTTACCATTAGAAGCATTTTGCAAGTGATGAACGAGCTGGAGCAGGGGTCCACTCTCTCCTGGTAGGAAAGTGCTGACTTAGAAGCCCTTCTAATGATGGATCCAATAAAACTTCACAGCTTCACAAATGAATTCTAGGATGTCGCTCTGAGAGAGCATTGCTCCCCACAGCTCCACGTACACAAAGTAAAAATCTGGAACTATTGATGGATACAAGTAATCTAATTTTACAGTGAAGCAACTAGGACAAGAATCTGACCCCACAGCTCATCTGGATCATTCTAAAAAACAAACCTGGTACATGTGCTGGAAACCATGTGCAAAATCGGTAGAAATAAGATAGGTAGCAAAACCAGCTGTCCTTAAGTCACCTTCCCAATCTCCCAGTTTCCCACAAAAACACATACAAGTCACCAGTGCATTTTCATCGCTCTGTCAGAGATAACTCTCAATTAGTCAGAAGCAGGTAACCCACCCTAATTCACCAATGCACCAGCAGCAGAGATGCACAAGGCACCTGGAGTTTTAGAGCACTCAGATGTGTTTGCAGACACTACCCCAAGCAGACTGAACATCTTTGGTTCAAGGACATCTGTGCTTCATAACAAGCAGTGACACAGACTTCTCTTTCCTTTCTTTATTATCCCCTCTGAACGTGTTCCTATGTATCTTTCCCTTTCTGTTAGACCCACCTATAGAATCACAGAACAGTTTGGGTTGGAAGGGACCTTAAAGTTCATCTAGTTCCAACCTCCCTGTCATGAGCAGAGACACCTCCCACTCAACCAGGCTGCTCAAAGCCCTGTCCAACCCAGTCTTGAACACTTCCAAGGATCTTCCACCTTTCTTCCTTCAGTACAGAAAGCATCAAGAGTTAGCTGTGTGCTGCAGCATAAGATGGGCATAATCATAGAATCAGTTGGGTTGGAAAGGATCTCCAGGATCATCAAGTCCAACCCTTGATCCACTACTGCCGTGGTTACCAGACCATGGCACTAAGTGCCACATCCAGTCTCATCTTAAAAACCTCCAGGGACAGAGAATCCCCCACTTCCCTGGGCAGCCCATTCCAATACCTGATTACCCTCTCTGTAAAGAATTTGTTCCTAATATCTAACCTAAACCTCCCCTGGCACAGCCTGAGACCATGCCCTCTTGTCTTACTGCTGGTTGCCTGGGAGAATAGACCAACTCCCAGCTGGCTACAACCTCCTTTCAGGGAGTTGTAGAGAGTGATGAGGTCTCCCCTGAACCTCCTCTTCTCCAGGTTGAACAACCCCAGCTCCCTCAGCCTCTCCTCATAGGACTTGTGCTCCAGTCCCTTCACCAGCCTTGTTGCTCTTCTTTGGACACTCTCCAGCACCTCAATATCCTTCCTGAACTGAGGGGTCCAGAACTGGACACAGTACTCAAGGTGTGGCCTCATCAGCACCGAGTACAGGGGAAGAATCACTTCCCTGGTCCTGCTGGCCACACAGTTCCTGATCCAGGCCAGGATGCCGTTGGCCTTCTTGGCCACCTGGGCACACTGCTGGCTCATGTTCAGCTTCCTGCCAGTCCAAACTCCCAGGTCCCTTTCTGCCTGGCTGCTCTCCAGCCACTCTGTGCCCAGCCTGTAGTGCCACATGGGGTTGTTGTGGCCAAAGTGGAGGACCCGGCACTTGGCCTTGTTGAACCTCATCTCGTTGGAATCAGCTCAACTCTCCAGCCTGTCCAGGTCCCTCTGCAGATATATGTTCTAGAAAAACCAAATAAAACCATGATCACTGAGCTAATCATAATTGGTTTAATATTTCATCCAATTAAATAGATTTTGCTTCTGAATTTGTCTGGAGGAAAGAAAAAGTCTTTTTTCTAACCTGCCTCAGTAGAGTGCCATGAAGCTACATAAGGGAACAGCCTTCAGCAGAGCATATAGTCAACTTTCCAAAGATTGCTCACAAAAGACTCTCAAATGTAAGCTCTTAAAACTTGGCCTCTTGAAGTCCCAACAAAGTATAAGGTCCACATGAACAGGACTGTGGCATAAATCACTGCAATCAAGATAAGAGCCCTTAGTCCTTAATGTTCATTGCCAGCCTCTGCTTGCCTAAGCGTACCACTGCAGTCAACTTCTGTGCTGACTTCCGTGCTGGCTTCCAGTAGTTCAGCCATTATCCCTAAGGGCTTTAACCAAATTCGTTAACATTTTGATGATATGTCTGGTTTTACTTGTTCATAACTACACATAATAAAGTCTTACAAGCATAGCGTTAAGGGAAGCTATTACGGATTAAATCCTCACAGTGCCTCTAATGTTTCCATCTATTTGTCTTCACTCCTTGGATTGCCTCCAGCTTGTTTGTAAAGTCTATTTGTGAAGTGCAGAAGTACCTGCCTAAGCTGTATGAGACATTACAACTACCCAAGTCCCAGTATGTGATACTAAGTATTTCAATACAACTTTATACTATGGAAAAGTATCATGCTGTGACTATCTTGTCACAGGTCTTGTTCTCTATCTTACCTTTAGTCTAGACTAAAGAAAAACCTTCTAACATTTCCTTCAAATTTGACTGTTTTGACTAGTATCAAACAACAAGAAATATTATAAACATAAGAAAGTAAAATTTTTACTGCCCTAGTAGTAGACAGCTCTTCTACTAATAAGTAAGCATTCATATCCCCATTAATTGAAATGTTAGCACACAGCCTTACAACCTCCAAGCAGCTTTTCAACCCAAACTGAAGGAGTGGAAGAAAAACCCTTTAAAAAAAAGTTCTTAATGAGGATGTAAGGGAGTAGTACATAATGAGCTAGAAGTCTTTCAGTTATGCCAGATGGGGAATTGTTGCATCCAGATCAAGAACATACTCTACAGCTAGAGCATCCTGATTAGAGGACTTGCAGCCAGGACACACAGACACCAAATGATGAAGAACACACCCTGGTAATCTATTTCAGGAGACAATTACCCTCAATTACAGACAGATGAAATCAGATTTACAACTACTGGATCTTGCCTTCCCTTCATCTAGGACATTACAGAGCTCTTCTGTACAGGATCAAGATCAAAGAGGTGCAAAGCAGATGTAACATCACAATGAATTGTGTCAGTGGAACTAATTAAAAGAATAAAGTTTATTTATTCAGGTTTTATTATATTTACAGCAGTACTGTGGTACTGACTACTATTGCCAGTAGAACCTCGTCAAATGCTCATTATTCAATTCCAGCCTGTATTTTCACAACTGGAAAAAAAAAAGATAACCTGGTGATTTGATTTACAAATGTTTTGACTCAAGCTAGGCTTTGGCCACACTGTTTATAGGAGGTTTTAAAGACAGAGTGAGTAAATTATTAAAAGACATTTTAATACATAGTTAATAAATTATCATAGACTGTTGGAGGTCATTGGTTTGCTTATAATTGCCAGCCCCAGACAGCTTTGTAAGCAAGAAAGCTCAACTGATCATCCTGCTTGCTTCCCCACAAGGCTCCCTCAGGGCAGCCTCCAGCTGAGCCCCAGGAGCTCATCCTGCATTTTCTCCTCTTCCATCAGCTGATATTCTGTCAATAGTTGCCTGAAAAACGCTTCCACTCAAATTATCTATGGAGCAAATGCTAAATGTGCCAAAGAACACGTTAAAAACATGAAACCACAGCTACGCAGCTTGTGTTTTGCTATGAAATCATATAATCATAGAATACGCTGAGTTGGAAGGGACCCACAAGGATCATCAAGTCCAACTCCTGGCCCTGCACAGAACAGCCCCAAGAATCACAATATGTCCCTGAGAGTATCATCCAAACACTTCTTGAACTCTGTCAGGCTTGGTGCTGTGACCACTTCCCTGGGGAGCCTGTTCCAGTGCTCAGCCACCCACTGGGTGAAGAACCTTTTCCTAATTTTCAGCCTAAACCTACTCTGACTCAGCTTCACGCCCTAATATGTGGTCAAACAGCAGCACAGTCAAGTCCTGTCACAAGACAGGACACCGGCAGCAAGAACTCTCCTGGCACTGCCTCAGCCACAGCCAAACAGAAGGAGTTCAGTTGTGGACCAAAGTCTTTTTCTTTATTTACAGAGAAATGAGAGTTGCCATCCCATTGTTATCTCCTAAAAAAATCTCCCAACCCCCTTCTGTGAAATGCTGGTATTTCATAACTAAAGGGAAATCAGTTCTGCTTTTGTGTGCACGTGTGAGAAAATACGTGGAAGTTCCTTGCTGAGCTGAGAAAACTTATCTTAGAAGTTATGTTTCATAGTGCCGAGCTGAAGCTCCAGCCAGCCAGCATTTTAACAGTGTATTTCCCTATAGACCCTGTATTTCGGAAGATGCCATATACCCCTGTGATGCTTTATGCTCCCTGGGCATCCACTCATAGCCAGTACTGCAGAGGCCATAGCCAGGCCATCAGACTGGGTGCTCTGAACCACAGGTTCTGATGTAGCTGCAGAAGTGCTTGCTAATGACAGAATGCCTTGCACTAAAGCAAATCACAGGCTTTCCTGTTTTTTTTTTTCCCTCCTCCTGTATCTCATTTCTGAGAGTGGTGAGAAACTGGTGACTTTAGAGAATGTGCAAGAAACCTCACGGCAACAGGCAATTACAATAAAATTGAAATTACTGAACTGGCACAAAGCAGCATCAGTCTGAAGGCAATCAAAAGGAAAAAAAGGCTCAGAAAATGCTTGAGTTTGGCAACTGGACAGGAAAAACTATTATATCTATTCTTTCTTAATTTCTATGAAAGAAATCATGGGAATAGCTTTATTACTTCTGAGAACTTGGATCAAAGTCCTGGCTTTTTCAGCTGTAAAGTATATGTTCAAACAGTGTTTCAATTATCAGCTTAACTTGATCTTGAGACTGAAACACATTGCTCTTAAAGCTTTGATTTCTTTGGCATTATTTGTCAGGAAATCAAAGGCCTAATGAGTCATACCACCTAAGTATGAAGTGGAAATGTGACAATAACAACCCAACAGGCACCACTGGTCTTTAGGAGTGCAAAGAGAAGTTACTGCACTTCTCTACAGGGAGCCCAGACCACAGGAGTTTATTGCTTTACAGGTAATTCTTTTAAATATTAACCCGCTACTTTGACTCTGTAAAACACTGACACCTAAACACTCGTTTCCAACTAACAGCCAATCTGTACTTTACATTGGTTTTTTATTCAGGCCATGATCCCAGCCACAGATCCCCACCACAGGTAACAGGAGGCATGAACTGGCACGACCTGGACACACTCCCTCCTTGCTTGTGCACCATCGCCTCCCTTGTTCCCACAGCAGCCCTGAAGCCTAAGCTGGGTCTGACATAGCTCGCTAATCGGTCCAGCCAAAGGCGGGGTTTAGTCCCACTTTGCTCAGTGCCCTGACCAGTCTGCTCAAGATATCTGGCCACTCGAGCTCAGGAGAGTGCAGTTGGAGGCAGGAGGAAAGCACTGACTCTTCCAGCAGTTTTTGTATAGGGTGACAGAGAAACCCCAGCCTTAACCCTTCGGCTTGTAGAGCTATTTCAGAAAACAAGATTTATCCTAGTGCAGTAATGCAGCATCAAGTACTACCGTTGCAGAGGATGTCTACTATTACTTTAGGAGTCTGGCATGATGACCTCCCTTCTGCCTCTTCCAGAGAGGGCCCTGAAGTGCCACATCCAAAAGCCACAGGGCTGGTCCCTCACTGCAAGGTAAGTAACACCAGCTAACTATCAGTACGTCCTCATATGTGGGGTTACATCTCACAACGCTTCCCACAGCTTCCAGGAGTAGGCAAGAGATCTACCTTGCTCTCATCAGCAAGAACCCACACTGAGTGACTGTTATCTGGTCATAAATCTTTATTTTGTGTCAGGAGAAAAAAAATGAGTGGCCGTCAGCAAACTCTTAGAAGTGCTTTTATCAAAATAGTTAGAGTTCAGCTCAAGAGCTAGCACAGGGCAATACCAGCCAATTTTCTCTCCTTCCTGGAAAGGTTATTCATGATACAGGATGCTCTTCCCTGTACTGCAAAGCAAAAATAGATACTGGAAAGTTCTTTTCAGGCTTAAATAGCTTCCATGTCTGTCCTATGAATCTCATTTTAGAAACTAGTCCAAAACTGCAATAAAAGCAACAGTTCAAATAGAGAGATCAGTCCTTACCTGCACACTTGTGAGAGTTGTATATTGGTAGGCTTTTACAATCATGTAATTGGCTTCAACGTCAGCCACTCCCAAAAGAATATACTTCCACCACCTCTGCTTCAAAATTTGCCAAAGACTATCACCGCCTGTTAAGAAAGCAGTAATCAATATGTGTTTCTTTCCAACTAAATGCTGCAAAGGAATTTTGCTTTTTAGAAGCATAAATAATACCGAGATGTTCGAATTTGCCCCTGCTTAAGAAAGATACAATGACATCAAAATGCAGCCTGAGAGGAGACAATGCAAATGGGTGAAAAGCACAGAAATTCTTCCACATGAGGAAAAAACCCAGCAAGACTGGTGTTGTTTAAAGAGTAAATTAACAAGAATAGGAGGAATACTAAATTGCCTCTGGTAACAAAGCTTCATTACAACAAAGCCTATTTTCCCTAATATAACATTTGACTTCAAACCAAAAAGCACAAAACTTTAAACAGATACGAAATTATATCAAATTAAATGCACTTTTAACCTGTGAAATTCATTTCCATGTGTCATTAAAAAAAAATGAACTTTAAAAACTAGGATGAGTATTAAGTTCTGTAGACTCAAATTCTGAAAAGAAAATGTAGGGGAAAAAAAAAAAAAGAAATAAAAAGATGAACCAGAATCTCCCATCCCATATTTCACATACCAGTCCTAAATGCCAGCATTGTTGTATAAACTAGAAGCAGCAAAGTATAGTTGATGAAACTTTGAAACATTGGAGTATTCACTTGGTATTTTTCTGCTAGATACTGGCTTGTAACAGCAGTCCCACAGATAAACAAAGAGAGCATCTGGCCCAGAATTATCGTTTTCAAAATATGCCTGTGAATATAAAAGACAAAACAGTAAGTTTAGAATTAAACATCCAAGTTTCTAAAAAAATATTTGCTAGTTGCACAGGGAAAATGTCAATTTTTTTAGATTGGCACCTTGTTCTTTTCCTACTCCCTACCAGTGTTGTTCTGATCTACTGGTAAGCAGGGGTTTGGATACACAGAAGATCCAGTCTAACCTCAGGACAGCCATGTAAGAAGTGAGGCCAGTCAAACCACCAGTGATGGAGACTGAAATAATTTGCAAGGATCTTCAAGCAGCTCACCTGGTCAGGCTCTACCTAATAGGAGGTTCTATTCTTATTAAGACAGGGTTTCAGTCAAATCCTTTGTCCTCCACTGAATTCCATTTTAGCTTTGGAGCCTTGATCAGACTATTTAGCACCCTGGCCAGTACCATCTTGCAAACCTTCAGTGATGGGGACTCCACTACATCCCTGGGGAAGTTGTCCAACTGATTGATTGTTCTCACTTTAAAAAAAAAAAAAACCTTTCTTATAATAAGAATTATTATAATTAATAGTTATTGTGGATTTTTTTCAGGTATATTCCATCATGTTTTGCTGTAACTGAGGATGGAGTTAAGAATGCATTTTGGGTAAGATCATGTTTGCATTTACAACTCCTCTTAAGTCCAACCCACAGCTAAGGAAAAAGCCAAACAAACCACGCTCTTTCAGTAGTAATTTTTCATCTAATATAAAATGAACTATTCCAGATGCTCCTAGACAAACAGGAGCAAGTATCACTGTGTTATCTTTCAGCTTGCTGTTTATCCTGCCAGTGGAGCTATGCAGATTTGTACCACCCCAGTCTCTGCATACACACAATATACAGTGACAGGAGCTCAACCCTGTGCTGTCTGTACATTTAATTTGTTTACTCTGAAGACTGATGAGAGTTTAACTGTCCGCACAACTGATTCACTTGTTCCTATTCAAAGTAACTGAGCAAGGGAAGAAAGGATTCCTTTGGGACTCTGCACATACCCTGCTCACATCACTCCACACGATGACTTCTGGCAGGACACTCACGTGTCAGACACCACCTAAGAGTAACACTGGTTGTTTTCCCCAGATGGGTGACTTAGCATAGTAAATAGGAGCTCACCCTGCTATGCTGCCCAGTTCAGTTGCCAGGCAAGAAAAAAAAAAAACAACAACTTTAAAGCTCCATCACTTCTGTTATATTTTATTTCTTTTATACTGGTCAATTGTCTGATTGTGATATTTAGTGAACTAATCAAATGATTGTGACACATTCTGTCTAATTATACTGACCACGTTCCAGCAAGAGAGTTAAATCTGCTGCCATTCAAATTTGCTAATGATTGATCTGCTTTACTGAAAACAAGAAAGACCTGGCTGCCCTCTTGCAGTGGAATAACTCCACTAAGCTGATCCTCATCTTTTCTAATAATGAAGTTTCTCCAGTTTAAAGTACCTCAGGAATTATTTCCTTGAGTTTCTGTATATGGGAAGAGACGCAGGTCCAGATCTTCCAAAACTGTTTTGCTTTGCGGTTACTACCCAAGCAATCATTGCTGTCAAGTTAATGTCTCAGCAGTCCTACAGCATTTACTTCTATAGTACCAAAGGCATCTGACAAAGCAAGCAGGCTTCATGACCTTCTCTATTTTTGTCTGGTTTAATTCAGTTTTTTTTCTTCTTCCCTGAAGAGATTCAAAATGTTAACATCAAAAGAGACACATAAGGACATTGTTCACCGACAGTGGAAGGCTACCCTCAAAAAATGTCTTCTGTGAATCCCCAAATGCCACATACCTGGCAGCTTTCTCAGCTGTGTATAACAGTCTCTTGCTCTGACTGCCCCCTAACATGACCTGGAAGCCCCAGCAGGAAGCAGCAGTGGTTTCCTCTCACACCATTTGCCAAAGTGTCAAAACTAATTTCTTCAAATTGAAGAGATGGTGCCATGCTCCTGGCATGATGCGCTGGACTCACAGCATATCTTAATAAAAAGCGTTTGACCCTCTGTAAAACTCGAGAACAAACTTTAAATCCTAAATTTTGCAAGACAATTTCTCTCGATAAAAATGCTTCGAAGACATGAGTTTCCATTCATTTCGGTATTGACATGAGTATCGATGATGGGGATTTTCTTATTAATAATTGATCGCATTTTGAAATATATTAATTATTAACTTTTCCATGCCAGAACTTGATCCCCTCTCTTTTTTTTTTTTAATGCATTTGAATGGACTAAATCACTTCGAACTCTCAGATGATGCAAGGTAAGTGGTCTGAAAAGGCCTTTTATTTTTATAGTTGGAGCGAGGGGTTTGTTGTTTTTTAATGGTTGATAGCTGGCTACCAAGTAATTACTCGTCCCCTCCCTTCAGCCATCATATCTTAGCTAGCTGTATCTATGGCTTTGAGCAAAACTAGGAGTCATTTTGTGAGGTTTTTGAAGCACGAAAATTTGCCACAATTTGGTCTAAAGTGAACACTGAACAATGTGCAGGTGTCAACATCATGAGAAAGTCAGGCTGGCTTTCCTTGGCTCCATGTGAAAAGCAGAATAAAAATACACTAAGATACTAAAATAAAACCAGAGTCTATATTTGTGGAAATTAAAGAAAATCTAATAAGCCCACAGTTAACAATTTTATCGGCTACAAGTTTACTAAATCCTATAATTTTAATGTGGTTTTTTTTCATAAAAATAAATACACCTTTTCAAAAGTTAATTTTATTTATGCCACCAATTAAACACTAACAGGTAAAGCCTGGCAACACTCTACACATAGAGAGTCTACATACACTTAGTTTTAACTACTGAACCCTTCCTAAATAGAGGGGAAGTGACCTTTTAATGTCAATAATCTCACATTTTCATGTGAGGAATAGAAAGTTAGTTAAAGGAAAAGTGCAGGTTCAGATAGAACCCATATTGCAACATGATTAGCACATAGCCCAGGACTACCAAATATATTTTTAAGAACTAATGTCATCACAAGTTATTGTTTTGCAATGTTCTGCTTTGAAACTGAAGTCAATTTAATTTATCAGCAAAGACAGACTTCTTTAATTCCAATACAAGAAATATACTTTCTACTGCTTTTACTCAAAAAAAAACCAAAAAACTCCACAAAAACCCAAACAAACAAACACACAAAACCACAACCTACAACACTTTACAAAACTCAGTGAAAGCACTTTATTTTCTTTAAGTACCACCTATAGACTCAATTAGCGTAGCCTTCTGGTAAAACTACTACCATAGGTGAGATTACTGAACAGCTCAAGTTTCTATCTTGCCTTTTGGGTCATTCCTGACAGGCAAAAAGAATGAAAAGAGAAAAACTTCTATAGCCAAAAGAGAAAGGCAGCTTTGCCCCCTGGAACAAGGCTCTGCTTGTCCAGCACACACCTTCACACAGTCCAGCTGCCAGACTCCAGCTTATGATGGAGGCATGAGGCTGGTAGGAAAGCCAGCATATCCTTGGCTGACAAATAGGAGATCTGATGCAGTAATTATTAGAGACCAAGCCTAGAGCCTGGGGATTACTTTTTTCCTCCCTAGATAGAAACTGAAGCTGCAAGTAGATGTAGCTCTAGAAGTCTTAGAAGGTACTCCCACTCTTGTAAAAGGCAGTGGTTCACAAGTACCAGCTTTAGAACATGTGCTACGCCTGCACAGCTTGGCAGATTTTCTTCCACAAGTTTTCCATGCTTAACCAGTGCTCGTATTTCAAGAGATACCTGAATAGGTCTCCGCCCTAAAGCAATTCAAGGAAGGAGGAAAAGAGGCTATTAGTCTTTCTGGACTCCACACCTCAGCTCAGCTACTTTGTTTTGTTACCTTCCCTGACACCCGTGACCTGTTCTTCACAACGATGTTGATCGAAGATTACAGAACACATAAACATACAGAAAAAACAGAGAAACAGAAAAATATTAAGCCAGAGTTAATAAAAAAAAAAAAAAAAAAGAAGACAAGTGCACGCGTATAGATATGGGAGTACACTCTGATAACGTCAAACACATCACTCGCTAACTCTACACCCCTCTCAGCTGAAGAGACCCTTGGCGTTCTCGCCCAGCAGCAGCCGCAGGCTGCAGTCAGCGGTGCTCCCGCAGCAGCCCGGGCATCAGAGCGCCCCGCACCCGCGACGGCTGCCAAAACACCCCCGAGCCACCTCTGCCGGGGCGCCCGAAGGGTCCAGGCTCTGCCCAACCCGGCCGTAACCCCGGGGCCGCACCGAGGTGGGTGTTCTGGCCCGAGCATCACGCGGCTGCTCCCCGGCGGCACCGATCGGTCTCCGCATCCCGACCGCGCTGTCGGCCAACGTGCCGAGGGGAGAAGGGATGTTTCTCCCTTCCTTCCTTCCTTCCCTCTCTCTCTCCCTCAGGAGACCGGCGATGCGCGGCTCCACGTGGAAGCCGGGGACTCACCAGGTGCAGAGCTTGGCCCCGAGCAGCGCCAGCAGCCGGCGCGGGGCGGGAGCGGCGGCCTCGGGCGAGGGCTCGGCCCCAGCAGCAGCGGCCGCCGCAGCCCCGGGCGGCGGTGCCCCGGCAGCCGCGGCCGCCTCCTCCATGGCCCGGCGCTGCCCCGGCCCTACGCCCGCCGGGAGTAGGCAAGGATGGAGGCAGGGAGGGCGGGCGCTACCGAGGCAGCGGAAGGAAGGGAGGGACGGAGGGAGGGATGAGCACCGGCACAGGGACGGCGGCACACGGCGCTCCTGGCAGGGGCCGAGGCCGGCTTTGTGCCCGCCGAGGGGCCGCCCCCGGGAGGGGCATAGCTCGTTCTGGGGCGGAGGGTCGGAGCTCTGCTGCTGCCTGCCCGTGTGGGGGGAAACGCTGCTCGTCTTCCTTTCCCTCAGTGAGCCCCGACCGCGCAGTTTCCTCCATCCGCCGGGCGCAAGCGGGAGCAGCGAAGGGCGGCTCCAGCAGCGCCAACGCCAATTTCATGTTCCCGCTCTCCCGCGGGGGTTCCGGCAGCAGCCCCAGCGTGGTGCCCCGATGCGGGTCCCTGCAGGGCTACTTTGCCCTCGGGTCACGTGGCCGCGGCTGGCTTGGTTCGCAGGCAGTTCAGGCTCATCTGCCGGTTACAGGAGTCAAAGTTACTCTAAACCCTTGAAGTTTAACTTCTCACGGCTTTGTGTGCAGCCTTCAGCTCTTCTAACGTTCCAACTCACACTTCTTTACTGATAATTCCCATGCTTACGGATTTACCTCAGCCTGTTTGTCTTCACCCACATCTCAGGGCAACTCGCCTGGAGAACCTGGTGATATTTTGCATACTCTGATGGAGGTTTTAACGACTCTCAACTGTTAGTGCTGCTGTATATATCCCAGGTGGTGGTATTAAACCCCAGAAATGCCCCCAGGAAGAGCTCAGCTCTTGGAATTCCTTGCTACAGGTAGGCTGCAGCAGCCTCACACCAGAAAGCCACTGCCAGGCTTTAGGGCAGAGCTGCTCAGCTGCAGATGGATTCCAGTGCCAGAGGGGTATCTGTGAACTCTGAAAATATGAAACAAAGTAAGAAGAGTTTAAACAGGCAGGGATCACTTTTTAATTTAATTTTTTAATAAAAAAAAACCCCCAAACAAACAAACAGAAAACAGCAACCAGAATTGTTAAAAGAGCCCTTTGTTAGACTTTGGGGACTAAGTTCATTGCAGAGTATGGTATACTCTGCTGTCTCAGAAAATTTTTATGGACAACATGGCCATGAATGTAGAGATATGTGAGAAGTCTAAACATGACTTCATGTTCAGCTACTCCTGCTTCAGGCTCCTGCTTTACTATGATTCAGGGTTCATCTCAGGTGTGATCGTGGCTGTGTGTTTCTGGATTTTTGTTGGTTCCTGAGTTTGCCTATGCTTCAACAAAGAGATACATCTGTGTGCAGTGTGTGCCGACCAGGCTGACTGGCCCCACAGACCAGACTTGGTATTATCACTCCCTAGTGCCGTCTCACCAGTGGAAACATGGGGACTGTGTGCATCTAAGGCTGTGTACTGCATCCTCTTTCAGAGACAGAAACTTTGTTCCTGGTGCCCTACAGAAGTAACTGGTTCCACTGTAACATGATTTACTCTGTCTGTTCCAGGATGAGTGAAATCCCTGGGAATAACTCTAGACTAGTAGACCTATACCTCCTTTTTGACTTAGCAAAAATGTAGACAAAGAACTATTCGCAATACATTTGTAGAATTCTTTAAAAATCAATCATTCAAAAGTTGTATCTAAAATATCAAACTATTTTGAAGTGTGCCTGAAAGGAACTAGCAATCCAAATATTTCTTATAGTTAGATATCTTATAGAATGGATGAAGAATAACTCAAAAGTACCAGCATAGCTTTTTTTTTTTGCTGCTTTTCAAAAAAAAACCCATTACTTTTGAGCTGAGAACAAATAAAAGAATTAGCACAACCATGACAAATGAGACACAGACATAGATCTCGTATCTTCATCGGCTTTCAACTTGTTTTTGTTAAACAGTTTCATTTCAGTGTGTCCTATCAGGCGGTTCCTTGTGCTGAGAAAATTGGAAATTTGACTAGGTGATAAAAGTAGATAATGATAATAAGTAAAAACACAGAACATAATTTTTAAGTTGACAGCATCTGCTTTAAGTTTCAGGGAGTTTAAAGGGCAATGTCATTGTACACTTAGACACTTCACTGTATATCACTGTAACAAAATTATATTTCTGGATTTGCCTTATCGACAAAAGGAAAGAGAAAAAAAATCTCATGAATTGAACTTAAAATCTGAAACTGCAAAAGTGATTCCTTATAAAATGCTGAGCAAGCATAATGTTAGGGTTTTCTTAATTGGAAGTATAGTGTGCCACTAGAGGTCCTTCATGGTCAGATTATGTTTTTCTCCACAGCGTTTTGGGATTCTTTACTATTTCTTTATCCATGCTACATGTGAGAATTACCATCTCTAAATAAATTTATTTTGCTTAATGTATTACATTTGTAGAATAATAGAGTGATTTTTCCTTGATTAAGCTTTTTCTGGGAAAATATCAAAAGGGTTTTTCAAATAGCATTTCTTTAATAAAAGCTTTTGTTTTATTAAGAAGTAAAATATTTATTTTTAGTTCAATAACTGCACGTTTTCACATTTCGTATTTTTCATTGTCTTGTAACACCTCCTTAACATAACCACTTTTCTCTTAGAAAAATAAAGGAAGAAAACAAATGTAAAACTAATGAGTGAAATTAGGATAAACAACTGGAACAATAAAACAATATGTAAGGTAGTTTTTCTCTGCTGCTTCATTATTTTCTTATTTTTCCTAGTTAGAAGTTGGTTAAAAATGTCTGAATGCTACTTGAAAAACATGTGCAGCCTTGGGACTGAGGTTAAACGTATCACTACAGAACACAATGTCATTTATTGGGAAACCAATAACAAAGATTCGTAGTTCACTATTTGGAAACTAAGGGAAAGAAATACTTGCTGTTCCTGGGATGGCCGTGAGCTGAAAAGTCCCAATAGCTGCACAAAGGGCAAATGGCATCACACAGTCTATCAGCTGGAATCAAGACAGAGATGTGTTAGACTATACAAAGTCCTGGGGAGACTTTTAATGAAAGATAGGGTTTGTGCTGGTTACTTGTATTCAAGACAAATATATAGAAAGATGCAGAAGGATCTGTAGAAGACCACGGGAGCTTGACTCGTTAGTCTAGCAAAGGACACTGAGATGAAATAGGAATGCTGTCAAAAATGCAACTGAGAGCAAACCCTACAAAGAAACTTTCTAAAGTAAAACACAATGTTAGTACCCGGACAAACAGGCATATATGAAATATTATTAGGTTTAAGCTGAAAATGAGAAGAGTTCCTTACTAACATTTACAATACAGCTATGCCTATTAGGACCATCACAGCCTGGATTTTCCATAGAAATAGCAGGAACAAGAGATGAACTACTTGGCAGCAAGGTGTTAGCTCTGATAGCCAAAAGATTTCTTCCCATCTTATTTCTGTAGGGAAAAAAAAAGGGATTTGCAGATGAAAGAAATCACCATTTTAAAATCAAAATATTCTAATATTCTCTAAAATTAGCCATTAAAAAAATTTAATCTGAGAAACATCACAGTAAGCTACCGAGTGCAAAACCCACCATATCCTATGGTGAAGGGGTGGTTCTGCTGTCTCTACCAAGAATAAAATATGAAGAAGGATATGTTTTCACACTGTAATGTCAAAAAAGGTATTAACTAAGCAAAAGCAACTAAATGAGGAGGAGTGAGAATTTCAATATGTGATGAGTTCTATTTATTCGAAAATATCAATAATAGAATTTAGGTACTTGATTGTCATTGAAAATCACCAGAGCCAACATTGTAAGAGTCATTTTGGGGGCAATCAATACGAGGTCACACAAGTCTATGCATCTGTAACTCTAGTCTCACGCACCATCTTCACTTCCTGTTCACCTGAGATGTGACCCTCTGCTTGAAACTGTACTCAGGAAAAAAATGGGGGTTTTGTTGCAAATGTAGTGTTTCCAAGGCCTAAGTAAACCTATGTGGGTGTTAATTCAGTAATAACCAGCAAAATCTCAAAGGACACTGGCTTCGCACTGAGTCCAAACACAGCTCCCTCAAATTTTTAATCTTCCAGCACTGACAGCAACACAAATGATATTGAAAGAGCTAGTGGAACAACTGGAGATTACAGCTTCAAACCATGAACTCAGTCTCAGAAAGGCAGACATAATAAAGCCCAAGGACCATCAAAATTTAAATCTACTTAGGACATATTGAAAGCATGATTTTTTTTTTCAAAACTCTCTGTCCCTGAAATGAAGGAAACTCTTCTTCAACCATCTGACAGACTTCTTTCTCTTAAGAGAATTGTATTCTCCCAGTGGTTTTATGGAATAGCATTTAACACCTCTGACTGTGCAGCTGCAGCCTACGATGACTCCTCTTTAACTAACATCATCTGCTCTTTGGGCTAAACAGAAGAGTTTGGGGGTTTTTTTACTTGATGACACTGATGACTATGAAAATAACATTTGAAAAGACCCAGCAAATTGCCTAGAGTTTTGTCTATACAGACTGGAGTACAACCCTATCTGAAAGCTAATTTAGGAATTATAATCTAATAAATATTCCCAAAGTTTATGAAGGCTTTGTGTTTTGTTTTTCAGGGAGAAACTCCTGGCAATACGAATTTGTGGGGATCACTTAGGTGTCCTTGGCTGCATTTCTGTCAGACTGGGCAAAGCAGACAACCTGGTCATTCTGGCCTGCACTATAGGCCTGGGACCTGATAATCCGGTGTGTGTTGTGTTCACCATTTAGTTCAAGCCTTCAGTATGGGATCCCTGCCCTGCACTGGGATGGAGTGCTGGGCATCATACTTACATACAGACTAAGGTTGAGAAGAGATTAATCA